CTCACCTAATGAGGGGCTGAGGGTAGAATGACCAAGTAGGTCATTCTACCCTCGGTAGAATAAGTAGGTAGGTAGGGAGCCGGTCGGCCGAGCGGACAGCACGCTGGACTTGTGATCCTGTGGTTCTGGGTTCGATCTCAGGCGCCGGCAAGAAACAATGGGCAGAGTTTCTTTCACCCTATGCCCCTGTTACCTAACAGTAAAATAGGTACCTGGGTGTTAGTCAGCTGTCATGGGCTGCTTCCTGGGGGTGGAGGCCTGGTCGAGGACCGGGCCGCGGGGACACTAAAACGTCCCGAAATCATCTCAAGATAACCTCAAGAAGTATAACAAACTGAACCGTATATTTTCTGAACCAGCAAGATCCTATTCCCTGTCCTCTATGTCATACAGTCTCTCAATACACACGATATAAAGGCCTTCAAAATATAGATTCCCCTTCACTGCACAGTTGGGACGAACTTTATTCAGGGAGGAAGAGAGAATGTGGATGGATAGGTGGTGGATGGGTAAGGTAGCCTGCAGGGTGTGTGGGGTGGGAAGAGGAGGGAGGTCAGAGGAGAGGGAGGGAGGGGGTTAGAGGAGGGGGGAGAAGGGGAGAGGGGGGGTAAGAGGAGGGGGGAGGGGGTAAGAGGAGGGGGGGGGAGAGGGTAAGAGGAGGGGGGAGGGGGTAATGGGGGGAGGGGGTAACAGAGAGAGAGAGAGAGAGAGAGAGGGGGGTAACGGGACCCCTGGTCACCAGTAACACCATGCAGACACTGGGGGCTGGCATCGCCCAACTTTGCAGCATGAAACATGGGGGTGATGCGAGTGTCGTAGGTCAGTCGTAGTCGGCCGTTTTCTAGAGATTGCATGTCTACTCCCGCCGTTTACAAGCGCATTTTCGTGGCTAACTGGAAAACAATGAACGTAAATTCATTCAGGTTACAGTATTACATTATCTGAGAGGAGAGGGGGGGTGAAGGAGGAGGAGGGGGGGTGAGGGGGGAGGTGGAGAGGGGTGAGGGAGGTGGTGGAGAGGGGTGAGGGAGGAGGAGAGGGGATGTGGGAGGAGGGGGGTGAGGGAAGAGGAGGGGGAAGTGAGGGAAAAGGGGAGGGAAGAGGAAAGAGGTGGTGAGGGAGGAGGTGGTGAGGGAAGAGGGGGTGAGGGAAGAGTGAGGAGGGGGAGAGGGAGGAGGGGGGTGAGGGAGGAGGTGGAAGGAGGAGGGAGTGAGGGAGGAGGAGGAGGAGAGGGTGAGGGAGGAGGAGGGGGGAGGGCGGTGTTATCCAGCAGACAACACACAAACCCCACATTGTTTGAGTTAGTAAAATACTATTTGTCAAATATTGATACAGTTCTTAAAAGATTCCACCATTTTGCACCCGCAAGATAACGTAAGATTTTAAGGGTTGACAGATGTTAATCTTCTGTTTAAGAAGAGGTTCACTTGAGACAGTTAAGGAACTTCCAGCTGTGTCTGGGTACAAGTTTTTTTGGCTTTTTTTTCTACTTCAAACGTGGCTACACATTTACAATGCTAATCAGCATATATACATTTTATTTTGTCCTCCATGCAGCGTTAGAGATCTGTTAAACATATAATTCAGTGACTTATTGAACAATCAATCACAGAGGGTGGATTGTAGTACATTTAAAATGCTAAGCTAACCTAACCTAACCTACAAACATAAACACAGATTTACGTCTGTCTTACATAAACAGTGTTCGATGTGTCTTTTTATATAGCGTCATTAATGTGCGTTTACAAAGGAGAAATGCAATTCTGACCAGCTTCCACGTATCCTGTATACAAATACATGTGACAGGATGAACAACCAAGCGGGTTTTCTCCCTATTGGGGAGTGTTGTACATGCTGCTATGGCGGTGTGTCCACTCACAAGATGAGTGGCGCTGCCCAATACTGTCACTATGGTGGTGTGTTCACTCACAAGATGAGTGGCGCTGCCCAATACTGTCACTATGGTGGTGTGTTCACTCACAAGATGAGTGGCGCTGACCAATACTGTCACTATGGCGGTGTGTCCACTCACAGGATGAGCGGCGCTGCCCAATACTGTCACTATGGCGGTGTGTCCATTCACAGGATGAGTGGCGCTGCCCAATACTGTCACTATGGCGGTGTGTCCACTCACAAGATGAGTGGCGCTGCCCAATACTGTCACTATGGCGGTGTGTCCACTCACAGGATGAGTGGCGCTGCCCAATACTGTCACTATGGCGGTGTGTCCACTCACAGGATGAGTGGCGCTGCCCAATACTGTCACTATGGCGGTGTGTCCACTCACAGGATGAGTGGCGCTGCCCAATACTGTCACTATGGTGGTGTGTCCACTCACAAGATGAGTGGCGCTGACCAATACTGTCACTATGGTGGTGTGTCCACTCACAGGATGAGTGGCGCTGACCAATACTGTCACTACGGTGGTGTGTCCATTCACAGGATGAGTGGCGCTGCCCAATACTGTCACTATGGTGGTGTGTTCACTCACAAGATGAGTGGCGCTGCCCAATACTGTCACTATGGTCACTATGGTGGTGTGTCCACTCACACTATGGTGGTGTGTTCACTGAGTGGCGCTGCCCAATACTGTCACTAGTGGCGCTGGTCACTGTGGTGGTGTGTCCACTCACAAGATGAGTGGCGCTGCCCAATACTGTCACTATGGCGGTGAGTGGCGCTGCCCACTCACACAGGATGAGTGGCGCTGCCCAATACTGTCACTATGGCGGTGTGTCCACTCACAAGATGAGTGGCGCTGCCCAATACTGTCACTATGGCGGTGTGTCCACTCACAAGATGAGTGGCGCTGCCCAATACTGTCACTATGGCGGTGTGTCCACTCACAGGATGGTGGCGCTGCCCAATACTGTCACTATGGTGGTGTGTCCACTCACAGGATGAGTGGCGCTGCCCAATACTGTCACTATGGCGGTGTGTCCACTCACAGGATGAGTGGCGCTGCCCAATACTGTCACTATGGTGGTGTGTTCACTCACAAGATGAGTGGCACTGCCCAATACTGTCACTATGGCGGTGTGTCCACTCACAAGATGAGTGGCGCTGCCCAATACTGTCACTATGGCGGTGTGTCCACTCACAGGATGAGTGGCGCTGACCAATACTGTCACTATGGCGGTGTGTCCACTCACAAGATGAGTGGCGCTGCCCAATACTGTCACTATGGCGGTGTGTCCACTCACAGGATGAGTGGCGCTGACCAATACTGTCACTATGGTGGTGTGTCCACTCACAGGATGAGTGGCGCTGACCAATACTGTCACTATGGCGGTGTGTCCACTCACAGGATGAGTGGCGCTGCCCAATACTGTCACTATGGCGGTGTGTTCACTCACAGGATGAGTGGCGCTGCCCAATACTGTCACTATGGCGGTGTGTCCACTCACAGGATGAGTGGCGCTGCCCAATACTGTCACTATGGCGGTGTGTCCACTCACAGGATGAGTGGCGCTGACCAATACTGTCACTATGGTGGTGTGTCCACTCACAGGATGAGTGACGCTGACCAATAAACTTGCCCCTCGAAGCAAAATTAACCAAAAAAATCGCCGCGGTTTTGTCCATCTGTGCATCATGAAATGGAACCTCATGTTCCTTTTGAAAATAAACATGTGGAAAATGATTCATATTCAGGATTTAATGACCAGGATTCTGCTAACAATAGCAGCGTTGTAGCAAGAGTTATCGATGAGCCTATTATACCGAGAGGCGTACTCCTGTCAGGTGCCGCCGGCAACTGGCCTGGGGTGCCATGTTGTGCTGGGATTATCAGGGTGCCACACCCACCACAGCTGCTTAGTGGTACCTTATAATGCATATAACTGTAGTTATATGTAACGTGTGTAAAGAGTGTAACAGCAGTAAAACCAGTATGTCTTATTATTAAAAAAAAAATGTGTGAAATTGAAATTGAAGTATGTTTATTGAGGTAAAATACACACAAAGGGATGAGGTAGCTCAAGCTATTCTCACCCCGATCAGTACATCGTGTTAATACATACATAGACACACATCACAAACAATAAACATATTATCAACCATTCTGAGAGATAAACATATACATTTCCTCCTTTACACAAGTAAAAAAAAAAATATGTGTGTGCACGTGTGCGAACATAGGTACGCACGAATGTATCCGTTCGTACATATTGTGTGCACGTGTGCGAACATAGGTACGTATGAACGTGTCCATGCGTACCTATGATCTACACGATCTGTGATACAAATACCATTATTAACAGGTCACTGCATCACTGCACTTGAAAACCCACGGTAAAAATTATTAAATATACGAAGTAAATATAATATGGTGGATGTGTTCAGTTACAGTTCCGTGCATAATATGCAGGACTAAACTGTGGCAACGTTACGAAATTATTACTTCCGCCGGCAATGCTCTGCAGTTGGTGATCGTGCATAAAATTGTAGTCATATATATACAAAGTGTGAATATACAGTGTAATAACAGCAAAAACCCGTATGTCTGATCGGTCTAAGCATATAATATGATGCGCATCTTAGTGACAAAAATATATTTCCACATTCTGATGTATTCATCATATACATCTCTCAAAAGACACACTATACTATAATATTACTGCAACAAAATAAGAGATATTGAAACAAGTATGTAAGACTATGTTGGCTGCCCCTGCCGCCCGACGCTGTTATTGTCGTGTTGTTGTTTTAGATTCAGCTACTGGGAACAAGTAGTTCCCAGTAGCACGGGGCTACGGTGAGCGCGTGATGCCGCCGACGCCGGGTCGACCACTCGACGCCGGGTCGACCGCCCGACGCCGGGTCGACCGCCCGACGCCGGGTCGACCACTCGACGCCGGGTCGACCACCCGACGCCGGGTCGACCACCCGACGCCGGGTCGACCACTCGACGCCGGGTCGACCACTCGACGCCGGGTCGACCGCCCGACGCCGGGTCGACCGCCCGACGCCGGGTCGACCGCCCGACGCAACATGGCGCCATGAACGCCTGTGAGTCGACGGCAGCGTAAGATGTGATCAGGGTGATCAGGGAACACATTGTAACAATGTTATCCACGTGATCAGGGAACATCCATTGTGTAACAATATTATCCACGTGATCAGGGAACACATTGTAACAATATTATCCACGTGATCAGGGAACACATTGTAACAATATTATCCACGTGATCAGGGAACACATTGTAACAATATTATCCACGTGATCAGGGAACACATTGTAACAATATTATCCACGTGATCAGGGAACACATTGTAACAATATTATCCACGTGATCAGGGAACACATTGTAACAATATTATCCACGTGATCAGGGAACACATTGTAACAATATTATCCACGTGATCAGGGAACACATTGTAACAATATTATCCACGTGATCAGGGAACACATTGTAACAATATTATCCACGTGATCAGGGAACACATTGTAACAATATTATCCACGTGATCAGGGAACACATTGTAACAATATTATCCACGTGATCAGGGAACACATTGTAACAATATTATCCACGTGATCAGGGAACACATTGTAACAATATTATCCACGTGATCAGGGAACACATTGTAACAATATTATCCACGTGATCAGGGAACACATTGTAACAATATTATCCACGTGATCAGGGAACACATTGTAACAATATTATCCACGTGATCAGGGAACACATTGTAACAATATTAGAGGGATGTAAATTATTTAAATTTTTTCCCGAGAACTATGGTTAAATTAAACTTAAAACTGAATTAAGATCAATCACCAGAAACGACTGGAGAGTCTCACACAATTTTATTAATTATATTTTAGAACTCACGCTCTTACTCATTATATTAACTAAGTATCTGTCTAAGCCTACTCTGACGGGCAAAACAATTTCATGTAATACAGTGACGTAACTTGGGATTCTTCACCAATATCCATTAAAGTAGAAAGTTTGTGCAAAATCGGAGGCCAGACGTATGGGGCTAACCTCATTAACCCTTACACGCTATTAATGTTTATCGGGAGTGTCACAGGGGGGGTGGGGGCAGGGGTCGAGCCCCCATGCTCCCCCTTTAGTAGGATTGGCTGCTATTGCGACACCCACCGAGTTCGACGACGTCTGAAATTACTTCGATAGATTGTACATAAAGACTTTACCGACTCAGTTCTGTTGTTGTCGTTGAGGGAGCGACGGCCGGCTTCCAGACGTCGTCTTCCAGCAGACATCCTTAGTAATAATTATATAATTATCTTAATGCTTAGGTATAATACAGTGTTGATATAACAAGACATAGCATAATGACATTCGCCAGAATGTGATGTATCTATGAGAAAATATTTAAGCTGTGGGATCGAACCCGCATCCTTGTTGGGAAAGTTCACAGACGGAAGTTCGATCCCAGTGTATGGCCTCAATATAATGGTCATGTTGGTGTAGTGTAACTACAGTAACCATTATTGCGAACAGAGTGACATTGACAAATTGATTATATACCAAGTATTACGTTTTATGCAGAAATATTCCTGCGTGGGTCATAAGCCTACGGCTGGGTAACTAAATGTAACTCATTTCAGTCTTAGGCCGTGGATGAATGTTGATCTGTATGTTGGCATGAATATGGTCATGTGCAATGTGTTTAAAGACTGGGGGTAGTACACATTCTGGACATGTACATCATGACTCCTTGTTTAGATGACTGTGTACACTACCCGTGCAACACACACAGTCGCAACACCATCAATGAAACATTTATGAACCCCCCTCTTCCCCCCCCCCCCTTACAAAACCTCTATGTTCTGCAACAATCATGACGGCTTTGTTTACATATATTAAACAGTTTACGAGCTCCGCAGCACTATGAGGTTGTTTGTAACAATAACAACCTCAGGTTGGGAAGTTTCAAAACTTGTTAAGTTTTTATTAAATGTAAACAAAGCTGCCATGACTGCTGAAAGATGTACAGGTTTCGTAAGTGGGTGAATAAATGCTTTATTAGTCCCGGGGCTGGAACACTGGGCCACAGTTGTGCTATATGGCGCCTGTAACACACGCACACAATACACGCTACTACAACCAGCGGCATTATCCCTGGAAACACAAACCGAAACTGTCTCTATTTTCCGCTTGTTACAACTTGTAATAAAGTTGTCACATCTTGGCTTAACGTGTTTATGACGTATTAGAACGTTGTTACAACTTGCTACATTGGTTGTTATAACTGGTTAGGAGGTGTTAAAACTTGTTCGAACGTTGTACCAACGTCGTAGTTTCGGTGTGTGTTTGGCGGGATGTAACTTATCTGAAATTAATTTTAATTGGATAAGCCACAATTCCTGTTTAGGCGCCAATACCCGAGAAACATTAAAATAAAAAATCCGTGATATATAAGTAAATATAAGTATGGGACACGGCACCACTGTGAAGGTGTGGGACACGGCAACACTGTGAAGGTGTGGGGGCACGGCACCACTGTGAAGGTGTGGGACACGGCACCACTGTGAAGGTGTGGGACACGGCAACACTGTGAAGGTGTGGGGCACGGCACCACTGTGAAGGTGTGGGGGCACGGCAACACTGTGAAGGTGTGGGACACGGCACCACTGTGAAGGTGTGGGACACGGCACCACTGTGAAGGTGTGGGGCACGGCACCACTGTGAAGGTGTGGGGGCACGGCACCACTGTGAAGGTGTGGGACACGGCACCACTGTGAAGGTGTGGGACACGGCACCACTGTGAAGGTGTGGGACACGGCACCACTGTGAAGGTGTGGGACACGGCACCACTGTGAAGGTGTGGGACACGGCACCACTGTGAAGGTGTGGGACACGGCAACACTGTGAAGGTGTGGGGCACGGCAACACTGTGAAGGTGTGGGACACGGCACCACTGTGAAGGTGTGGGACACGGCACCACTGTGAAGGTGTGGGACACGGCACCACTGTGAAGGTGTGGGACACGGCACCACTGTGAAGGTGTGGGACACGGCACCACTGTGAAGGTGTGGGGCACGGCAACACTGTGAAGGTGTGGGGCACGGCAACACTGTCAAGGTGTGGGACACGGCAACACTGTCAAGGTGTGGGACACGGCAACACTGTGAAGGTGTGGGACACGGCAACACTGTGAAGGTGTGGGACACGGCACCACTGTGAAGGTGTGGGGCACGGCAACACTGTGAAGGTGTGGGACACGGCAACACTGTGAAGGTGTGGGGCACGGCAACACTGTGAAGGTGTGGGACACGGCAACACTGAAGGTGTGGGGCACGGCACCACTGTGAAGGTGTGGGACACGGCACCACTGTGAAGGTGTGGGACACGGCAACACTGTGAAGGTGTGGGGCACGGCAACACTGTGAAGGTGTGGGACACGGCACCACTGTGAAGGTGTGGGGGCACGGCAACACTGTGAAGGTGTGGGACACGGCACCACTGTGAAGGTGTGGGGGCACGGCAACACTGTGAAGGTGTGGGGGCACGGCACCACTGTGAAGGTGTGGGGGCACGGCAACACTGTGAAGGTGTGGGACACGGCACCACTGTGAAGGTGTGGGACACGGCACCACTGTGAAGGTGTGGGACACGGCACCACTGTGAAGGTGTGGGGCACGGCAACACTGTCAAGGTGTGGGGCACGGCAACACTGTCAAGGTGTGGGACACGGCAACACTGTGAAGGTGTGGGGCACGGCAACACTGTCAAGGTGTGGGGCACGGCAACACTGTGAAGGTGTGGGGCACGGCAACACTGTGAAGGTGTGGGACACGGCAACACTGTCAAGGTGTGGGGCACGGCAACACTGTCAAGGTGTGGGACACGGCAACACTGTGAAGGTGTGGGACACGGCACCACTGTGAAGGTGTGGGGCACGGCAACACTGTGAAGGTGTGGGGGCACGGCAACACTGTGAAGGTGTGGGGGCACGGCAACACTGTGAAGGTGTGGGGCACGGCAACACTGTGAAGGTGTGGGTCACGGCAACACTGTGAAGGTGTGGGGCACGGCACCACTGTGAAGGTGTGGGGGCACGGCAACACTGTGAAGGTGTGGGGGCACGGCAACACTGAAGGTGTGGGGCACGGCAACACTGAAGGTGTGGGGCACGGCAACACTGTGAAGGTGTGGGGGCACGGCACCACTGTGAAGGTGTGGGGCACGGCAACACTGTGAAGGTGTGGGGGCACGGCAACACTGAAGGTGTGGGGGCACGGCAACACTGTCAAGGTGTGGGACACGGCAACACTGTGAAGGTGTGGGGCACGGCAACACTGTGAAGGTGTGGGGCACGGCAACACTGTCAAGGTGTGTGGCACGGCAACACTGTCAAGGTTGTCTTTATGTCATAAATATTAAGGTAATTCTGGGTAACATGTTCTCCCCATCAGTGGGCACGAGGGCGGGCCATACCAGCCCATCAGTGGGCATGAGGGCGGGCCATACCAGCCCATCAGTGGGCACGAGGGCGGGCCATACCAGCCCATCAGTGGGCACGAGGGCGGGCCATACCAGCCCATCAGTGGGCACGAGGGCGGGCCATACCAGCCCATCAGTGGGCACGAGGGCGGGCCATACCAGCCTATCAGTGGGCACGAGGGCGGGCCATACCAGCCCATCAGTGGGCACGAGGGCGGGCCATACCAGCCCATCAGTGGGCACGAGGGCGGGCCATACCAGCCCATCAGTGGGCACGAGGGCGGGCCATACCAGCCCATCAGTGGGCACGAGGGCGGGCCATACCAGCCCATCAGTGGGCACGAGGGCGGGCCATACCAGCCCATCAGTGGGCACGAGGGCGGGCCATACCAGCCCATCAGTGGCCACGAGGGCGGGCCATACCAGCCCATCAGTGGGCACGAGGGCGGGCCATACCAGCCCATCAGTGGGCACGAGGGCGGGCCATACCAGCCCATCAGTGGGCACGAGGGCGGGCCATACCAGCCTATCAGTGGGCACGAGGGCGGGCCATACCAGCCCATCAGTGGGCACGAGGGCGGGCCATACCAGCCCATCAGTGGGCACGAGGGCGGGCCATACCAGCCCATCAGTGGGCACGAGGGCGGGCCATACCAGCCCATCAGTGGGCACGAGGGCGGGCCATACAGCCCATCAGTGGGCACGAGGGCGGGCCATACCAGCCCATCAGTGGGCACGAGGGCGGGCCATACCAGCCCATCAGTGGGCACGAGGGCGGGCCATACCAGCCCATCAATGCCTAATGTTTCAAAACATCTCACTTTCATGTAATAAATAAGAAATATATGTTTATAGATAACATTTGTTACGGCCGTTGGCATGACGACCCCCAGTAGACCAGCCCGTCCTCCTAAGGGTCCCCAACGTCAAGAAAATGTGGTGCTGATGATTTTGAGTGTTGTCGCCGCAGGCAGCTAGTTTATTGTGCACCCCATACCCATCCTGTGAGCGGTAGCGCAAAAGCATTACAGAGGGCACAAAAGATTTTTATCAGACCTCATCTTAGATTATTACATAAACAATTTCATCTATCCTTCACACCTTATAGTTACAATGTCAGCTAGTTACAGAGAAAGTGCTATTTCAAGAGCTACATATTTACAGTAAGTCATCATACATTAATGGTAGGTCTTATCGCTAATACATAATAGTTTGACCAATGGAGATAGTCATAGGGTAGCTCCTGTTTAATATTAGTCTTCACAATACACTACTTGTTTCTGAATCTCATATGCCGTTCATCTACTGGAAGCGAAATGTGGATACAGTGCAAGGATTTCAGGTAATTTATCCATGGTAATAAGATAGGTTGCCATATCATACAGAGTGAGCTTAGATTTATCTCTAAATGGCTCAATTTTACTACAATCCAAGATATAGTGTTCGAATGTGTGTCCCTGTCTTTGTCCACACACTTTACACTTTACTTCATCTAGATCCCTATACAAGCTGAACTGCCAGAGATACTTGTAGCCAAGTCTTATACGAGCTGTGACAACATCTGTTAGTCTACTGACTTTGTTACTTGCCCAATACACATGTTTTACTTCACACATTTTATTGTGATGAACAATGGACCTGCTAGTTCCAGTTTGCACTGTTCTACTTTCTTCAAATCCATCCAGGAGTTCTCGTCTAATGACACTTTTAAGGGACCTATTTGATAACTCAAGATTCCGTTCAATACTGTCTTTATTACTGAAGTTCCCCCTATCCTAACCTACCAATAGCCCGTGCTACTTGGTACTTTTGTTCCAAGTTACTGAATCTTCTTCAACAACAACCTAACCTATCAGACGACCCAAAACAGAAAACGGGACACTGTGTCAATTTCGCGAGCCGCTACCATTTTCTAGTGCGACAAATTTTGGCCTTAGGTGGAGTATACGTCAAAATGCGACGTTCTATTAGGAAGGCGAGTTGTTGTTATTGGTCACTACGACACAAGCTGCCTAAGTTCCTTACATTTTCAATAATAATAATGCGTGTTAATGGCATTGCAGGAATGTTACATTCAAACCCCAATGTATGTACTTTCTCAGCCCAATATCATATATATATATATATATATATATATATATATATATATATATATATATATATATTGTGACGATAATCTCCTTCAAGAGATTGAGCCTGCTCTTCCCTCCAAAAATACGTCGCTACAAATATATAAAACTACTATGGAAGAAATGTCCAACAACGACAACAACATCTCCAAGGTTTGCCAGAGAGCAAAACGTATGCAGCCAGGAACACCTGCTCCACCTCAAACCGCCAAACTACCTGTCTTGTTGCCGGCTCCTCGCTGATTGGCCGCCGGTCTAGCTGCAACTGCACTCCACCCACCATACTACTTGATGTCTGGGGCCGCCACGACCTCAGTCTTCAGAATATTCAGTGCTTTCATACGGTTAACACGTCTTCTTGGTAGACTAAGCTGTGGCTTACGTGTACTATGAGAGGTGATAGCTTAAAGCCAATATTCCTGCACCTCTCATTTTATTGTATATTGCACAGCTTGTTATTGCTCACTTGTCTTAACGTAACTTTTCATTTTGTCCTATAATTATTCTTATTATTTTGATTGATTGATTTTATTATACGAATTTGTATGTCCATTTTTATTCATGTTTTGCTTTCTTTAACGTAATTAAAATTCCATTGTTAAAATTTACTTGTGTTTTGTGTGTCTTCTCCTTACCTTACCACAGACGAAGTTCCAGATTTTCTATTTTTTTTTTATTCTATGTGACGAGGCCATACCCCTAGCTTTGAACAGCCGAACACCAACGCGTTACCGTCACAATATATATATATATTGGTAGAAGTCTTTCTTGCAAACATATATTGTTGAATATGACCGAAAGGATAAGATTAATGATTCTAACACGAATCTTCTAAATATTTCTTATATTTTTCTTCACTGTCGGGGGTAGTTGAAAAATTAACTCTCCAAAGTTCTTTTTCACTTTTTATTTATGATCTGACGCCTAGAAGCGTTTTGTAAGAACACTTCTCACATTTTCAAAAAAAAAATTTACTTACTCAGAACGTGCTTATAATAGTTTTTGGGTGAGGTGAGAGGAAACAAAACACAAAACACGTAACAATGGATATATACAACCCTGGAAACACAAACGAAACTGTCTCCATTTTCCGCTTGTTACAACTTGTAATAAAGTTGTTACATCTTGGCTTAACGTGTTTATGACGTATTAGAACGTTGTTACAACTTGCTATATTGGTTGTTATCTAAAACTTGTTCGAACGTTGTACCAACGTCGTAGTTTCGGTGTGTGTTTGGCGGGAATGGACATATAACCGGTATACATTCTATCTTCTTGGTCTTGAGGTCTTGAAGTGGATTGAATGTAATTGTGTGTTAATTGGCTGTTGATTATCAGAAATCAACAGTCAATTAACACATAGGCTGCCTCGTATGGCCCAACAGGTTTTCTGTAGTTTCATCACGTCATATTAAAAAATTTAATTTTTAATGTAAAACGAATGTTTTGGGCGTAATGTTTATGCCACAGTAACGTTGTTTACAATTGAGGTCGCATATAGAGAGTGATCAGGAGAGACTGCTAATCACAATGTGTCCGTACTTGTATAAAACAGGTGAAGATAGACAGTGAAGCAGAGAGCAGGGGACGAAACCGTTTCAAGAATCCGACACCACTTTAGGGCAGGCAGATAACTGAACTTAACTTCACTGTAATGAAGTGGGTGTTACAGTGAATGACATATAAACGGATACAAGGCTAGAATAACTGTTGAACGAGCAAGCGTGCACACGAGCACGCACGCACACACACACACACACACACACACACACACACACACACACACACACACACACACACACACACACACAAAATGTTTTGTACAAAATGAAATCTTCAGGGAACCAGATACAATAAGAATTCCAGAGAACAACATAGAGCACACAGAGGTGTCTAGAGACGAAGTGGAAAAATGCTCAAGGAGCTAAATAAGAACAAGGCAGTTGGTCCAGATGGAGTTTCACCTTGGGTTCTGAGAGAATGTGCATCTGAGCTCAGCATTCCTCTTCAATTGATTTTTCAGGCATCCCTGTTTACAGGAGTTGTAGTTGATGTGTGGAAAAAGGCTAACATAGTTCCAATCTACAAAAGTGGAAACAGGGAAGACCCCCTTAATTAATTATAGACCTGTATCATTGACAAGTGTAATAGTCAAAATATTGGAAAAAATAATTAAAACTAAATGGGTAGAACACCTGGAGAGAAATTATGTAATATCAGACAGACAGTATGGTTTTCGATCTGGAAGATCCTGTGTATCGAATTTACTCAGTTTCTATGATCGAGCAACAGAGATATTACAGGAAAGAGATGGTTGGGTTGACTGCATCTATCTGGACCTAAAAAAAGGCTTTTGACAGAGTTCCACATAAGAGGTTGTTCTGGAAACTGGAAAATATTGGAGGGGTGACAGGTACGCTTCTAACATGGATGAAAAATTTTCTGACTGATAGAAAAATGAGGGCAGTGATCAGAGGCAATGTATCGGACTGGAGAAATGTCACAAGTGGAGTACCACAGGGTTCAGTTCTTGCACCAGTGATGTTTTTTGTCTACATAATTGATCTACCAGTTGGTATACAGAATTATATGAACATGTTTGCTGATGATGCTAAGATAATAGGAAGGATAAGAAACTTAGATGATTGTCATGCCCTTCAAGATGACCTGGACAAAATAAGTATATGGAGCACCACTTGGCAAATGGAATTTAATGTTAATAAATGCCATGTTATGGACTGTGGAATAGGAGAACATAGACCCCACACAACCTATATATTATGTGAGAAATCTATAAAGAATTGTGATAAAGAAAGAGATCTAGGGGTGGTTCTAAATAGAAAACTATCACCTGAGGACCACATAAAGAATATTGTGCGAGGAGCCTATGCCACACTTTCTAACTTCAGAATTGCTTTTAAATACATGGATGGCGATATACTAAAGAAATTGTTCACGACTTTTGTTAGGCCAAGGCTAGAATATGCAGCGGTTGTGTGGTGCCCATATCTTAAGAAGCACATCAACAAACTGGAAAAGGTGCAAAGACATGCTACTAAGTGGCTCCCAGAACTGAAGGGCAAGAGCTACGAGGAGAGGTTAGAGGCATTAAATATGCCAAAACTAGAAGACAGAAGAAAAAGAGGTGATATGATCACTACATACAAAATAGTTATAGGAATTGATAAAATCGATAGGGAAGATTTCCTGAGACCTGGAACTTTAAGAACATGAGGTCATAGATATAAACTAGCTAAACACAGATGCCGAAGAAATATAAGAAAATTCACTTTCGCAAACAGAGTGGTAGACGGTTGGAACAAGTTAGGTGAGAAGGTGGTGGAGGCCAAGACCGTCAGTAGTTTCAAAGCGTTATATGACAAAGAGTGCTGGGAAGACGGGACACCACGAACGTAGCTCTCATCCTGTAACTACACTTAGGTAATTACACTTAGGTAATTACACATACATACACACACACACACACACACACACACACACACACACACACACACACACACACACACTGAGTGAATGAGTGATCACAGTGTATTGAACTTTGAGTACCTGGTAGAGCTAGGAATCATCTCCCCCCCCCCCCAAAAAAAAAAAAGAACTAGGAAACAAAAGGCTGGCATACCGAAAGGGAAATTATGAGAAGATGAGAAGCTTCCTAAGAGAAATACCTTGGGACACAGACCTCAGAGCTAAGTCTGTACAAGATAAGATATGATGGACTATGTCACCCAAAAGGTGTCTCTTGTGTCAGGAGGCAGTGGAAAGCAGATACATACACCCGGCCCAAAAGGAAAAATCCGAGAAGCAAAAGAAGAATGCATGGTATAATAGGGCATGTATGGAAGCAAAGAAACTGAACAAAAGGGCGTGGAGGAACTTCAGGAATAACAGAACACCAGAAAGCAGAGAGAGATACCAGAGAACCAGGAATGAGTCAGGGTGAGAAGAGAAGCAGAGAAAAGTTATGAAAATGATATGGCAAACAAAGCCAAGACCGAACCAAAGCTACTCCACAGTCACATCAGAAGGAAAACAACAGTGAAAGAACAGGTAGTGAAACTTAGAACAGGCGAGGACAGGTATACAGAGAATGACAAAGAGGTGTGTGATGAACTCAACAAGAGGTTCCAAGAGGTCTTCACAACAGAACAAGGTGGGGTCACTGTGCTAGGAGAAAGGGAAGTAAACCAGGCGGCCTTGGAAGAGTTTGAAATTACGAGAGAGGAGGTCAAGAGACACCTGCTGGACCTGGATGTTAGAAAGGCTGTTGGTCCAGACGGGATCTCGCCATGGGTACTGAAAGAGTGTGCAGAGGCACTTTGCTTGCCACTCTCCATAGTGTATAGTAGGTCACTGGAGACGGGAGACCTACCAGAAATATGGAAGACGGCGAATGTGGTCCCAATATACAAAAAGGGCGACAGGCAAGAGGCACTGAACTACAGGCCAGTATCCCTGACTTGTATACCATGCAAAGTGATGGAGAAGATCGTGAGAAAAAAACTGGTAGCACATCTGGAGAGAAGGGACTTCGTGACAAATCGACAACATGGATTCAGGGAGGGTAAATCTTGTCTGACTGGCTTAATAGAATTCTATGACCAGGTAACACAGATTAAGCAAGAAAGAGAGGGCTGGGCGGACTGCATTTTCTTAGATTGACGGAAAGCCTTTGACACAGTACCGCATAAGAGGCTGGTACATAAGCTGGAGAGACAGGCAGGCGTAGCTGGTAAGGTGCTCCAGTGGATAAGGGAGTATCTAAGCAATAGGAAGCAGAGAGTTACGGTGAGGGGTGAGACCTCCGATTGGCGTGAAGTCACTAGTGGAGTCCCACAGGGCTCTGTACTCGGTCCTATCTTGTTTCTGATATATGTAAATGATGTCCCGGAGGGTATAGATTCATTTCTCTCAATGTTTGCGGACGATGCCAAAATTATGAGAAGGATTAAGACAGAAGAGGACTGTTTGAGGCTTCAAGAAGACCTAGACAAACTGCAGAAATGGTCGAACAAGTGGTTGTTAGAGTTTAACCCAACCAAATGTAATATAATGAAGATAGGTGTAGGGAGCAGGAGGCCAAATACAAGGTATCATCTGGGAGAGGAAATTCTTCAGGAGTCAGAGTAAGAAAAAGACTTGGGAGTTGATATCACGCCAGACCTGTCTCCTGCAGCACATATCAAGAGGATAACATCAGCGGCATATGCCAGGCTGGCCAACATACGAACGGCATTCAGAAATTTGTGTAAAGAATCATTCAGAACTTTGTATACCACATATGTCAGGCCAATCCTGGAGTATGCGGCTCCAGCATGGAGTCCATATCTAGTCAAGGATAAGACTAAACTGGAAAAGGTTCAAAGGTTTGCCACCAGACTACTAGTACCTGAGCTGAGAGGTATGAGCTACGAGGAGAGACTACGAGAATTGAACCTCACTTCGTTGGAAGACAGAAGAGTTAGGGGGGACATGATCACCACATTCAAGATTCTCAAGGGAATCGACAGGGTTGATAAAGACAGGCTATTTAACACAAAGGAAACACGCACTAGGGGACACAGGTGGAAACTGAGTGCCCAAATGAGCCACAGAGATATTAGAAAGAACTTTTTTAGTGTCAGAGTGGTTGACAAATGGAATGCATTAGGAAGTGATGTGGTGTAGGCTGACTCCATACACAGTTTCAAGTGTAGATATGATAGAGCCCAGTAGGCTCAGGAATCTGTACACCTGTTGATTGATGGTTGAGAGGCGGGACCAAAGAGCCAGAGCTCAACCCCCGCAAGCAGAACTAGGTGAGTACACGCACAGTCCCTTCAGGAGCGCCTGAAGGAACTGTGCCTTACGACACTAGAAAAAAGAAGGGAGAGTGGGGGGGGGACATGATAGGAACGTATAAAATACTCAGGGGGATTGACAGAGTGGACATAGACGAAATGTTCACAGGGAATAGTAACAAAACGAGGGGACATGGATGGAAGCTTGAAACTCAGATGAGTCACAGAGATGTTAGGAAGTTTTCTTTTAGCGTGAGAGTAGTGGGAAAATGGAATGCACTTCAGGAACAGGTTGTGGAAGCAAATTCTATTCATAATTTTAAAACTAGATATGATAGGGAAATGGGACAGGAGTCATTGCTGTATACAACCGATGCTCGAAAGACGGGATCCAAGAGTCAATGCTCGATCCTGCAGACACAACTAGGTGAGTACACACAGTGTCAATAACTTATTGAAACGAATTAGAAAGCATATTAATTTAAACTAATTCAAATTACAATTATTGCAAGCACAATGAAACGGCAAAAAATCAACTACAGAAAGCCGGGGCTGGGGAGCTGCAGCTCGGCCCAGCCAGCACCTCAAGACAGGTGAACGCTATAACATCTGCCAGAAGCCTCACCCCCGGTAACCCCAGCGAGGCCAGGCTCCTGCCTCACCCCGGTAACCCCAGCGAGGCCAGGCTCCTGCCTCACCCCCGGTAACCCCAGCGAGGCCAGGCTCCTGCCTCACCCCCGGTAACCCCAGCGAGGCCAGGCTCCTGCCTCACCCCCGGTAACCCCAGCGAGGCCAGGCTCCTGCCTCACCCCCGGTAACCCCAGCGAGGCCAGGCTCCTGCCTCACCCCCGGTAACCCCAGCGAGGCCAGGCTCCTGCCTCACCCCCGGTAACCCCAGCGAGGCCAGGCTCCTGCCTCACCCCCGGTAACCCCAGCGAGGCCAGGCTCCTGCCTCACCCCCGGTAACCCCAGCGAGGCCAGGCTCCTGCTATTCACAAAACAGCCCCCGACCCAACACACAAACCCACACAAAAGTCCCACTTGCATAAAAGGCAAAAGCTGCGTCAAAACCCGCCACACACACACACACAAAACACACACATCTCCGTAAAACATATGCAAACACAGCCTCATGTTTGTCAAACAAGCCAAAGAAATACAGGGAGACGATTCAGTAATAGTATGAAAACACGGAGGAGGAAGCCGTCGGCGCTCGTCACTTGTTTGGCAACCACTGTCACGGCTGGGCCAGGAAGCCCACAGCTGGGCCAGGAAGCCCACAGCTGGGCCAGGAAGCCCACAGCTGGGCCAGGAAGCCCACAGCTGGGCCACGAAGCCCACAGCTGGGCCACGAAGCCCACGGCTGGGCCACGAAGCCCACGGCTGGGCCACGAAGCCCACGGCTGGGCCACGAAGCCCACGGCTGGCCCACGGCCCACGGGGCCAGGAAGCCCACGGCTGGGCCAGGAAGCCCACGGCTGGGCCAGGAAGCCCACGGCTGGGCCAGGAAGCCCACGGCTGGGCCAGGAAGCCCACGGCTGGGCCAGGAAGCCCACGGCTGGGCCAGGAAGCCCACGGCTGGGCCAGGAAGCCCACGGCTGGGCCAGGAAGCCCACGGCTGGGCCAGGAAGCCCACGGCTGGGCCAGGAAGCCCCACAGCTGGGCCAGGAAGCCCCACAGCTGGGCCAGGAAGCCCCACAGCTGGGCCCGGAAGCCCCACAGCTGGGCCAGGAAGCCCCACAGCTGGGCCAGGAAGCCCACAGCTGGGCCAGGAAGCCCACAGCTGGGCCAGGAAGCTCACTCCTGGGCCAGGAAGCCCCACAGCTGGGCCAGGAAGCCCACATCTGGGCCAGGAAGCCCACAGCTGGGCCAGGAAGCCCACAGCTGGGCCAGGAAGCCCCACAGCTGGGCCAGGAAGCCCACAGCTGGGCCAGGAAGCCCACATCTGGGCCAGGAAGCCCACAGCTGGGCCAGGAAGCCCACAGCTGGGCCAGGAAGCCCCACAGCTGGGCCAGGAAGCCCACAGCTGGGCCAGGAAGCCCACAGCTAGGCCAAGAAGCTCACAGCTGGGCCAGGAAGCCCACAGCTGGGCCAGGAAGCCCACAGCTGGGCCAGGAAGCCCACAGCTGGGCCAGGAAGCCCACAGCTGGGCCAGGAAGCCCACAGCTGGGCCAGGAAGCCCACAGCTGGGCCAGGAAGCCCACAGCTGGGCCAGGAAGCCCCACAGCTGGGCCAGGAAGCCCACAGCTGAGCCAGCAAGCCCACAGCTGGGCCAGGAAGCCCACAGCTGGGCCAGGAAGCCCACAGCTGGGCCAGGAAGCCCACAGCTGGGCCAAGAAGCCCACAGCTGGGCCAAGAAGCCCCACAGCTGGGCCAGGAAGCCCCACAGCTAGGCCAAGAAGCCCCACAGCTGGGCCAAGAAGCCCACAGCTGGGCCAAGAAGCCCCACAGCTGGGCCAAGAAGCCCACAGCTGGGCCAAGAAGCCCACAGCTGGGCTAGGAAGCCCACAGCTGGGCCAAGAAGCCCCACAGCGGGGCCAAGAAGCCCACAGCTGGGCCAAGAAGCCCCACAGCGGGGCCAAGAAGCCCCACAGCTGGGCCAAGAAGCCCCACAGCTGGGCCAAGAAGCCCCACAGCTGGGCCAGGAAGCCCACAGCCAGACAGCTGGGCAAACAGCAGACAATCCGGCAAGTGAGAGAAGCAGACGCGATAGGGTTGACTGACAGGTGAAACGCAGACGGAAGTATATAAGAAGGCGGGCAGGCCAGCCCGTCCTCCTCAGGTTCACCAACGTCAGGAAAACGGTCATTTGAAAATGCCCTCTCCTAACCAAGCAGAGGACACAAAACAGAAAACGGGGCAGTGCGTTACAGCAGCAAAGGCAGGCAGGCAGACAAAGGAAGGCAGGCAGACAAAGGAAGGCAGGCAGACAAAGGAAGGCAGGCAGACAAAGGCAGGCAGGCAGACAAAGGAAGGCAGGCAGACAAAGGAAGGCAGGCAGACAAAGGAAGGCAGGCAGACAAAGGCAGGCAGGCAGACAAAGGAAGGCAGGCAGACAAAGGAAGGCAGGCAGACAAAGGAAGGCAGGCAGACAAAGGAAGGCAGGCAGACAAAGGCAGGCAGGCAGACAAAGGAAGGCAGGCAGACAAAGGCAGGCAGGCAGACAAAGGAAGACAGGCAGCAAAGGCTGGTAGGCACGCAAAAGCAGGCAGGCAGGCAGCAAAAGCAGCCGGGCTGGCCGTCAAACAGGTTCAAAGTCATAGACATGAGTCAAAGGCCAAGGAATAACCAGACAAGTATACAAAATCTGGCTACCTCAATGTTAAACATGTAGCTAACAATGGTATACAATGGTAAACACACCAGACAACCATGCGTCAGACAGCCAAGCACCACAGTCAAGTACCAGACAGCCAAGCACCTCACAGCCATGTATCAGGCAAGCACCAGACAGCCAAGCACCAGACAGCCAAGCACCAGTCAAGCACCAGACAGCCAAGCACCAGACAACCAAGCACCAGACAGCCAAGCACCAGACAGCTATATACCAGACAGCCAAGCACCAGACAGCCAAGCACCAGACAGCTATATACCAGACAGCCAAGCACCAGACAGCCAAGCACCAGACAGCCAAGCACCAGACAACCAAGCACCAGACAGCCAAGCACCAGACAGCTATACACCAGACAGCTATATACCAGACAGCCAAGCACCAGACAGCTATACACCAGACAGCTATATACCAGACAGCCAAGCACCAGACAGCTATATACCAGACAGCCAAGCACCAGACAACCAAGCACCAGACAGCCAAGCACCAGACAGCTATACACCAGACAGCTATATACCAGACAGCCAAGCACCAGACAGCCAAGCACCAGACAACCAAGCACCAGACAGCCAAGCACCAGACAGCTATACACCAGACAGCTATATACCAGACAGCCAAGCACCAGACAGCTATACACCAGACAGCTATATACCAGACAGCCAAGCACCAGACAGCTATACACCAGACAGCTATATACCAGACAGCCAAGCACCAGACAGCCAAGCACCAGACAACCAAGCACCAGACAGCCAAGCACCAGACAGCTATACACCAGACAGCTATATACCAGACAGCCAAGCACCAGACAGCTATACACCAGACAGCTGTACACCAGACAGCCAAGCACCAGACAACCAAGCACCAGACAGCTATATACCAGACAGCCAAGCACCAGACAGCTATACACCAGACAGCTGTACACCAGACAGCCAAGCACCAGACAGCTATATACCAGACAGCCAAGCACCAGACAGCTATACACCAGACAGCTATATACCAGACAGCCAAGCACCAGACAGCTATACACCAGACAGCCAAGCACCAGACAGCCAAGCACCAGACAGCCAAGCACCAGACAGCCAAGCACCAGACAGCAATACACCAAACAGCCAAGCACCAGACAGCCAAGCACCAGACAGCCAAGCACCAGACAGCAATACACCAAACAGCCAAGCACCAGACAGCCAAGCGCCAGACAGCCAAGCACCAGACAGTCAAGCACCAGACAGCCAAGCACCAGACAACCAAGCACCAGACAGCCAAGCACCAGACAGCCATGAATCAGACAGCCAAGCACCAGACAGCCAAGCACCAGACAGCCAAGCACCAGACAGCCAAGCACCAGACAGCCAAGCACCAGACAACCAAGCACCAGACAGCCAAGCACCAGACAGCCATGAATCAGACAGCCAAGCACCAGACAGCCAAGCACCAGACAGCCAAGCACCAGACAACCAAGCACCAGACAGCCAAGCACCAGACAACCAAGCACCAGACAGCCAAGCACCAGACAGCCAAGCACCAGACAGCCAAGCACCAGACAGCCAAGCACCAGACAGCCAAGCACCAGACAGCCATGAATCAGACAGCCAAGCACCAGACAGCCAAGCACCAGACAGCCAAGCACCAGACAGCCAAGCACCAGACAGCCAAGCACCAGACAGCCAAGCACCAGACAGCCAAGCACCAGACAACCAAGCACCAGACAGCCAAGCACCAGACAGCCATGAATCAGACAGCCAAGCACCAGACAGCCAAGCACCAGACAGCCACGCACCAGACAACCAAGCACCAGACAGCCAAGCACCAGACAACCAAGCACCAGACAGCCAAGCACCAGACAGCCAAGCACCAGACAGCCAAGCACCAGACAGCCAAGCACCAGACAGCCAAGCACCAGACAGCCAAGCACCAGACAGCCAAGCACCAGACAGCCAAGCACCAGTCAAGCACCAGACAGCCAAGCACCAGACAGCCAAGCACCAGACAGCCAAGCACCAGACAGCCAAGCACCAGTCAAGCACCAGACAGCCAAGCACCAGACAGCCAAGCACCAGTCAAGCACCAGACAACCAAGCACCAGACAGCCAAGCACCAGACAACCAAGCACCAGACAGCCAAGCACCAGACAGCCAAGCACCAGTCAAGCACCAGACAGCCAAGCACCAGACAGCCAAGCACCAGTCAAGCACCAGACAGCCAAGCACCAGTCAAGCACCAGACAACCAAGCACCAGACAGCTATATACCAGACAGCCAAGCACCAGACAGCCAAGCACCAGTCAAGCACCAGACAGCCAAGCACCAGTTATGCACCAGACAGCCAAGCACCAGACAGCCAAGCACCAGACAGCCAAGCACCAGACAGCCAAGCACCAGTTATGCACCAGACAGCCAAGCACCAGACAGCCAAGCACCAGACAGCCAAGCACCAGACAGCCAAGCACCAGACAGCCAAGCACCAGACAACCAAGCACCAGACAGCCAAGCACCAGACAGCCAAGCACCAGACAGCCAAGCACCAGACAGCCAAGCACCAGACAGTCAAGCACCAGACAGCCAAGCACCAGACAACCAAGCACCAGACAGCCAAGCACCAGACAGCCATGAATCAGACAGCCAAGCACCAGACAGCCAAGCACCAGACAGCCAAGCACCAGACAGCCAAGCACCAGACAACCAAGCACCAGACAGCCAAGCACCAGACAGCCATGAATCAGACAGCCAAGCACCAGACAGCCAAGCACCAGACAGCCAAGCACCAGACAGCCAAGCACCAGACAGCCAAGCACCAGACAGCCAAGCACCAGACAGCCAAGCACCAGACAGCCAAGCACCAGACAGCCAAGCACCAGACAGCCATGAATCAGACAGCCAAGCACCAGACAACCAAGCACCAGACAGCCAAGCACCAGACAACCAAGCACCAGACAGCCAAGCACCAGACAACCAAGCACCAGACAGCCACCAGCAGCCAACAGCCAGCACCAGCACCACAGCCAAGCACCAGACAGCCAAGCACCAGACAGCCAAGCACCAGACAGCCAAGCACCAGACAGCTATACACCAGACAGCCAAGCACCAGACAGCCAAGCACCAGACAGCCAAGCACCAGACAGCCAAGCACCAGACAACCAAGCACCAGACAGCCAAGCACCAGACAGCCAAGCACCAGACAGCCAAGCACCAGACAACCAAGCACCAGACAGCCAAGCACCAGACAGCCAAGCACCAGACAGCCAAGCACCAGACAGCCAAGCACCAGTCAAGCACCAGACAGCCAAGCACCAGACAGCCAAGCACCAGACAGCCAAGCACCAGTCAAGCACCAGACAGCCAAGCACCAGACAGCCAAGCACCAGACAGCGAAGCACCAGACAAGCCAAGCACCAGACAGCCAAGCACCAGACAGCCAAGCACCAGACAGCCAAGCACCAGACAGCCAAGCACCAGTCAAGCACCAGACAGCCAAGCACCAGACAGCCAAGCACCAGACAGCCAAGCACCAGTCAAGCACCAGACAGCTATATACCAGACAGCCAAGCACCAGACAGCCAAGCACCAGTCAAGCACCAGACAGCCAAGCACCAGTTATGCACCAGACAGCCAAGCACCAGTTATGCACCAGACAGCCAAGCACCAGACAACCAAGCACCAGACAGCCAAGCACCAGACAGCCAAGCACCAGACAGCCAAGCACCAGACAACCAAGCACCAGACAACCAAGCACCAGACAGCCAAGCACCAGACAGCCAAGCACCAGACAGCCAAGCACCAGACAGCCAAGCACCAGACAGCCAAGCACCAGACAGCCAAGCACCAGACAGCCAAGCACCAGACAGCCAATCACCAGACAACCAAGCACCAGACAACCAAGCACCAGACAGCCAAGCACCAGACAGCCAAGCACCAGACAGCTGTACACCAGACAGCCAAGCACCAGACAGCCAAGCACCAGACAGCCAAGCACCAGACAGCCAAGCACCAGACAGCCAAGCACCAGACAGTCAAGCACCAGACAGCCAAGCACCAGACAGCCAAGCACTAGACAGCCAAGCACCAGACAGCCAAACAACCAAACCATATTGGTAGAAAGGAGAACATATAAGCAGCTAGCGTGAACAAGAAAGGTGTGCCCCAGGCAGGGCAGTAAGGAGAAGGAAATGACAATAAATCGAGGAAGAGCTTAACGCTGGAGAGGACTGGAGGGTGCTGGAGGCAGATTTAAGGGGTTTTCATACCCATAAACGCCCTCGTTTGAATTGGAGAACGCCGAGACCTGCCTGGAAATCTCTTCTATCCACCTGTGGAATTCCCTACCTCCCCTCACCCTGGCCTCAGGGCCTCGCACCATCCC